ACGCCCAACAGTACAAACGGTGCACCGCCCCCATTCGTGTCCGACGACGATGAATATGACTTGTCTGCTCCCGCTCCCCTCGCATCGCCGCCCCAACATCATCTCAACCCACACCTGTTCGCCGAACACACTGCCCGTCAGACGTCAGACGATCACGCACTGGAGGAGAACCATAACCTCGTTGAGTTGCTGGAGGCTGCGACAGCTGCAGGTCAGGTGGCATATGCGATGGATACTGGAGATACTGGGACGGTGACCATCCCACTACAGGATAGAGGCAAGAGAAGAAGAGGTACCAGCTCCCCGGCCGAGGACGCATCGCATCATGCCGATAGGCCTGTCAACTCTAAGCGACGTAAAACTGGCGGATCTACCGATCCTCGGCTTCAGGACCATGGCCATAATATGCATGGGGTCTCTGTCGACGACACTGTACCGCCTTCCAGTGAGTCTCTATTGAACGATGCCCGTGCTGCAGGTGTACACTCAGCCGCCGCTCTCTTCCGCCGCTCCTCCGAAAGGACGTCTCGCAAGTACACACGACCGCCAATGTCGAAGCTGTTCATGTCCCTCCAGCTAAGCCCAGAGAACTTCCTTCAACTACAAGCTTTAGCAAAAGGCTACATGCTCGACACATCACATCCTGAGAGGCAGAGCTGCGTTGGAAACCGCGGCAAAGGTGATACCGACATGGTCAAGTTGCGGCTCTTCAACTGCGTCCGGGACTTCCTGAACGAAGGCGTTGGCGAGCAGTTCTTTGGCGAAGATGTGGAGAAGCCGGGTGAGAAGGACGCGATTGAAGCTGCACGCGCACTAGGAGAAGACAATACTCCTGATGCTGGAGAAAGACTGACATGGCCGAAGGACGGGAACAAGATCATTAGCCTCGTTACTCCGTTGATGCGACGAATGGTCACGAACGAGCGGCAGCGACAGTATGCGATCGAGACTAGGAAGGGCGGCGCGAAGAAGAAAGACAAAGAAGGCAGTGCCGAAGCTGTGCTCCAGCAAGGCGATGATGATGCAGGACGTGGGGTCGAGCAGCGTCCACAGCCGGTCTTCGATCACAGTTTGGAACAACATCCGACGCCGTCACAGCCCACAGCTTCATCGACACAACTCACGACCGTGACGCCGCAGCTTTCCTTCGGAGGTAAGGATGTGAAGTCGGATTCTAGAGAAGCGGTAGAGTCCAACGCAACCACACAGCCGAGTTTGAAGGTAGGGTCGATTCCTTCGTGCTCTTAGTATGATTGACGCTGCTAACCCATCAAACAGTTACCCACGACCAGCCCTACCGAACCCAATCTCTCCCACATCAACATCTTCCTCGTACTCGCCTCATCGAGCGGCAGACCTGGCATCAAGCTCGACGAGAAGCGCATCACAGCCGAACCACAAACACACCTGGCATGGTATGACTACAACGACTTCATGAGAGATGTCATCCTCCTCCTCAAGGCCGCCAAGGACAGATACCCCGAACTCAGCGTTGGTGTCGGATTTCGAGACGTTGAACCCGGCACAGATAATCTTCGTGGGCTCGCTGCTGCCGCAAACGCACTGCAAACGGAGCATGCTCTCCACGGGACATCGTCTCCATTCAACGGTCTACCTCAATCATCCGAAGATGATAACGCTTCTATCCTTCCCACACCCACTTCGGCAGCGAGCGCTCACCCCGTCTTCCCTGTCGACAGTCATGCGGAGACCAGGTCTCTTCCCCGTTACGCTATCAAATCTATCGGTCCGCAGGGGTGGCGTGATATTCGCAATGCGGATGATTGGTATAGTGTGCTGAGGGAGAAGGCGTTTGCTGTTTGGGCTGATGGCGTGTGTAATGTGCTTGTCGAGCTTGTGGACTTTGCTGGGGTGGTGGGGTAGATTGGGATGTGGAACTGGGTGTTGTGGAGTATGTGTTCTGTGGAAAGTTTCTATTGCCTTGTCTCGTTGCTATGGAGTACCATGACATGATCTGATAACCACCTCTACAAGCAGCTTCATCTGTAACATGTCATCCGTCAATCTCATTGTCATGTTCTCCCCGCACTCAATTATAGAGCCTCTTCTTGCCCTTCTTCGCCTTTTCAAGCACCTTCTCCGACGAATCCTCGCGAATGATAGGGCACCCATGACACCACCTATGCCTACACATTTGGTTCGGGCATCTACCAGCTCGGTCCGGGTTGTGCGCAGTTCGCTTAATCTCAGTGCCTGTCATCTCGGGGTCATCCTCGTCATCCTCACCATCCTCGTCGGGGTTGTCGCTCTCGCTGGACCCATCAGACTCCTCGTTCTCGTCCTCGTAGTCTTCCTCGTAGTTTCCAAAATACACCTCGCATAAATCCTGGATAAGGTCCCAAAGATCATCATAGTACAGCACGTAGACAGGGGCGTAGTATTGGTCGGACTCGTCGGCGTCATCCTTGCCTGACTCCTCGTCAGACACATCAGCGTCATCCTCGCATGACTCCTCGTCGGACGTCTCTGACTTAGAGTCGGCCACATCCCCGCCGCTACCACATTGACAGCATCGGTACTTCTTGCTGAAGAAGGGCCTCATACGCATGGGTGGAGTGTTCTTATAGTGGCGCACATAACCTCGTGGAACTGCGGGTCTATCCCTCCGTCGGTACTCTTGTCGCGGACCTCCAAGGCGGTAATTTGGGTAGCGTGCCGGTCTACCGCCACGAGTGATGCCGTAGTATGGTAGGTTGGAGTAGTCGTGGTTGTGGGTAGCATCAGGGTGGGTGGAGAAGGGGTCTTCGTTTCTGGCAGGCCGCCTCTGGGTTGGGGTGGGTGGATTGGGTGGAGGCATCACAACCGAAGGGAATCGATTGTGGTGATGGTATTTGGCGAGCAGGTAGCCGGGGCTTTCTTATAGATGTGGACTGACGGGAGATGGTATGAGCCTGATGATGATAGTCAGAAGAACGAGATATATATGAGCGTGATGTGAATCTTGTGATAAAGCATGAAGGCATGACTCTGTTTGCTTGGAGTTGTGAGACGGTTCAGGTGGTGTCTGGTGTTTCTGACGTTATTCTATCATTTTCGCATGTTTGAAGTAATGATGTTTAGGCTGCATGGAAGGAAGTGGTAGTAGCGACAAGGTGAGTACTGTCTTCTGGGAATGAGACATATGAATCATCATCGAGTCTCGGCTGTGTCGAAAAGCGCATTCTCTTGACTACTGTGTATATGGCATTGCGCTGCATCGCGCCACGCTCGCTCTTCAGACGGTCTACCAGTGTCTGGCAGCTGCATTAGCATGTGTTCAGGTTGATCAAAGGGCACTCTTGCCAATCATCAGTTCTCTAACTACCGGGCGAGACCGTAAGAGTGACGACAGACCCTAATACCTCACTCCCACGCACGTCCCTTCCATCTCATGTCCCCCCGTGCCCAAAACTGCGATAAGGTGTGTATCCCATACCAGGCGACGTGCGCTGTCCGTGATAGGCAGGCGTACACGCCAAGCCATGGATTGTAGCGAACGTCGTTCGCCCAATTTTACCCCTCCTTGTCAGGCACACAATAAGCTTTCGGAACATGGTAGCGCGCGCACCTGCACCCTTTTCAACGTCGCCGGTTACGTCAAGCGTGCCCCGGTGTTCTGGACTGCGGAGCGCGAGATGTGGGGACATGGCCTGAGGTTTGGTGTTGGGCATGGCGGCGTGGTTCTGGTAATGAGTCTGGTCTGGGAGACGCGATGGCATCGGGGGTTGGTCTGCGCTGAAATCAGATCTCGAGCGCACCGATGCTACCCGCATTCATGGCACACATGACGTCGCCTTATTCCGGTTCGCTCCTCTCCTTTCGTCACTCTTGTTCATTGACGGCTTCTCAGAAGGGCGGTACTGCACTGCGATCCCGTTAAGCCTCGTTAATCCTCGCTGCGAATTCGCTGGGATTAGCACTATGCGAGACACCCGTACCATGCCAGCCGGTACCAATCATTTCCTTGCATGGATATACAACGGCCTCTACAGTCTCGCTGTCATGTCACCGATCTTGGCAGGGTTGCACGAACCGTAGAAACGGGATGCTCATGATCCCATGGAAGCTCCTACAATGCTCGAGTGATCGGCGGGAGAAGTCTCTATCTGTGGTACCAAGGCTACTGATTCGGGGGTGACATCTGCCGTATAGCACATCTGCGACTTCAGCTCTTAACGACATGTCACGCGCGAATCTGCGTAGCAGGAAGCTAGAAAAGCTATTGAAGGCACTCTGAGAGAGCGAGTGTCGGATCTTGCGGTATGGTTACACATGTTCTCCTCCTCCGTCTATCTAGACATACGCTCATTGACGACATTGTGCCCAATTCTCACCTCTCTCTACAATGCGAATAGCGACGATCTCCCTGTCCGTTCCAAACGAGAAGTGCCGTGCCTCTCGGAGGTTTACGCGGGAGACAATTGCCGAAATCTGGAATTGATTGCGATGGTGTAGCACTGTAGCTAGGTCTTCAACATTAACGCGGGGATTTCTCAAGGTCATAGCCGTTATTGGTCACATACAGAGATCTTTAATCAACGGATAAAGCATATCCACACCAGACACCATCGATGCCATGGAGCAGGGTTGACAACAAGATACCAAGACTCGAAGCTATTGACAATCCTTCAGCTTAAGATCTTGGGCGGTCCTTCACGCATCTTCCAGCAAAAACACCCCTACAAGAACCATACAAAGATACACGACAATGAAGTGGTACCAGATCGCTGCTCTCGCAGTGCCTGCTCAGGCCGCACTACGCTTCGGATGCTCAACCTTGAGCATCCAACGACTTGACCCGCTCGTTGAGCCAGGCAAACTTCCTTCAGCTCATGTTCATCAAATTGTTGGTGGCAATGCATTCAATGCGACTATGCAGGAAGACCCATCTACCTTGGCTACCTGCACAACGTGCACGTTCTCAGAGGACTTCAGGTTCGGCAGCCTGTTTACGTCTTCCAATTGAAGCTGATAGATATAGCAATTACTGGACCGCCGCGATGTTCTTCAAACACACCAACGGCTCGTACAAGCGAGTGCCTATCATGCAGAACAGCGCTTTGCCGAACGGTATCAACGGTGGCATGAGTGAGTTCTAACTTACTACACGCAGGTGAGACATACACTGACTGGTTGTCTACCTCTTCGCAGCCATCTACTACACACAGCAAGACTTCAATGGGAATGGTAACCAGAAGATTACTGCTTTTCCCAAGGTTAGTCACACTGCGGCACATGTAACACACTACTAACCCACTCAGGGCTTCCGAATGACTGTAGGTTCGCCTACAACCAACACGGTAGAAGACGCGAAGAAACACCCAGGTCTTCGCTTCGTGTGTCTGCAAGACAAGAACACCCGCTTCCCCGAGAGCCCAGACTTCCCACCCAAGGCCTGCAAAGGTGGCATCATGACTGTGCACCACTTCCCCTCGTAAGTGTCTGCCTCGTGAACAATTCAGGTGAGAGGGTACTGACATATGCATCAGTTGCTGGGACGGCAAGAACGTCGACTCGCCCAACCACCAAGATCACATGTACAATACAGCCAAGGAAGCCTTCGCTGTCGCTGGCGCATGTCCGTCTTCGCACCCGGTGCGCATGCCACAAGTTGCCTATGAGACACTCTGGGATACTACTCAGTTCAGCAACATGTGGCCCAAGGATGGCTCCAACCCTTTCTTCCTTTCTTACAACGACAACAAGGGCTATGGTACCCATGCGGACTACCTCTTTGGCTGGAAAGACGACAGTCTACAGAAGGCGATGGACAACAACTGCATGTTCCAAGCTTGCGAGAATGGAAGACCTTTGAAGGTATGTGATGCAGTGTGGGTTCATGAAGCATGGTGTTGCTGCTAACAAGGAGTTGTAGAGTCAGAATGTTCAGGCCATGAACCAATGCCAAGTCAAGAGCGCTATCAAGGAGAATATCGATGGCTGTAAGTTGTTCTTTCAGTCACACTGTGACGTTTCCATACTGACAACCCTTATCAGGGCTTGACCATATGCCCGGTATGGCGATGTAGGTGAGCGGTAAGGAGAAGCACGAGTCAAGGCTCGTACTTTCGGCGATACCAAATTGTGATCTACTTCATCTGCGGACTTCGTATCTACACAAATTCAGTCGTTTCTGAGTCGCGTTTTTCCGTCACTTTTGCCATATCCTCGGAGATGTTTTGTCTCTAGAGACGGTGTTGATGAAGACTGTCCCGCATCGCAGTCTAGACTCTTCGGCAAGCGAACCCGCAAGCCATCGTACATGCTTTTTCTCCCATCCAGACCCTCAAACGCCACATTCCAGCGCATCAAAACATACATACCATGCAGTGTTCGCGTCCTCCATCGTGAGCCTCAGATGTAACACAGCTTACGCACTAGATCATGCGCGCAACACCGTGCAGTGAGATGCATAGCTCAGCGGTTTCACCACCAGGATGGTGCTCCGATGCAGCCCGACCTTCGCGCTGGCTCCACCGCGATGCCATGTGCCAGGAACCCGCAATTGTCAGACAGCGGCGGGCCGTGCGTCTACGGAAACCACGTTGCGACCACGTGGTGAGCATGCATTTTCATGCAGGCGCTCGGACGTTGGATGAAAGGTTCTGTCGTGCTGCCGCTTTGGGGAGCATGTGGGGTTGGGCAGGCGATTGCGCATGTGAGGATGTGGTTGGAAGGCGTATGGGTTGGCGGGCAATGGGGGACGGGGTTGAAGCTTGGGGTCGCTGTGGCTACTGGTGGGTGGGCAAACCTTATCGGCGACGCATCTGCAAGATCATTTTGACGTGCATCTCCTCACATGCGCTCGCCAAATGTCAGATGCGGTGGTCGAGATTAACTGGAATGGAAAGGGGGCGGCACTCTGTGCCTTGACGTTTAGCTGCTCATTGCCAGACTGCAGCGTCCTCCGGTGCCCAAACGCCTGGGCGAGCTGATTAACTAGTGCGAGGGATCAGCTGCAGTCACTTCAAAGAAGCCGAGACGCTGCATTGATTAACCTAAGGACTTCGGGCTGACGGGTGACGGGGCATGCGATACTGTCGATATTCACTGCTCCCGTTTCGCGAGGAATGGATGTCTCATAGATAATGCAAGGAGTTCTTCGGTCAGGGAACAAGTGCATGGCTCATGCCATGACCAAACCAGGAGCGGCAATGCGCGGGCACCGGTGGAGACGAAGCTAAACCTAAGCAACACGGGGCCCTGTAGCGGCCAACGTGGGTTCTGGGTTCCCGCAGAAAAACGTGGCATAGGCGATGCAAGCGTGGGCGGTGGTCAAGGGGATTGGTCGGGTGTCGCGGTCGGCGTGAATGGCTTGAGTGGAGGCTGACTGCATGCAACTCACTCAGCACTTTATCGAAATGCAAGTATCCCTAGATGCAGTATCCTTACGTGCGGCCGTTTCAGAGCCGTCTGGTGGTTGCCATGATGCCGGTGGTGGTAGTGGTAGAGGGGTCGCTCTTTCCTTGCTTACAGCCGCCGCTGCCTACATAACCGCGTCGTGTTCGTCGGCGAGACTCTGCTACGCGTCTTGACCACGCACATGCCGCTGCTTGTCTGCAAGGCTGACGTCTTAGAATCCTACCAAACATCACCGCCGCCCGTTGCGACTCGCTAACCGTGGTGCCCCTGCGCGTGCATCTTGCTACTCACGACGCCCCTTGCCGATCTGGGCCCTTTGAAACGCGCAGGAGTAAGGCAGGCTGAGCACAGGACTTCTACCGACTACAACACCCATCTCCTCGCTTTTCTCTACAGAACCAGCACGGACACCGGCCTCTGACTGCTCTGCTTGCGTGCGCCCTTTCTTATACCCTTCAATCGCCGTCGTACGATTGCAGTTCCGGCGACCTAGCAAGCAGCACGCTATCCCCGCCCACCTACTAACCACCGGACTCGCCGTGGCGCGCATCATGACAAACTCTCTTGAGTCCTCGCGGCCCATGCTTGCCAACGTAAGTCATTCTCCCGTATCCACTGCCCGTTTCAGACGTCCCCTGCGTGTGGTCGATGCTCGCCGAGGAGCACCTGCACTGCGTGCTTGACATTCACTCCTTTGCGCCTTCCCTTCCCTTCACCCTCACCACACAAACACCTGCCTTTGCGCTCCAACACGCCCGCACCAACACAAACACGCACACTACCACACGGCGACCATGTCGGAACAAGCACAGTCTAACGAGAAGAAGTCGGCCGCCAACCGCGCATCCACCCGCATGTCCACCTACAGCGCCACACCCACCCTCACACCCTCCATCGCGCCCTCGCACCTCTCGCAAGCCTCGTCAACAGCCGGCGACCCCAAGTCACACGACATCAAGACATGGAACGCAGGATTTGACCGCCTCGAAGACAAGCGCCTGGTCCAACAACGGTACGCCCTCAACGAGCGCAAGACAGACGACATGAGCAAGCTGGCGCTGGGAGCAAAGCTGGACCGCGCACTCGCACGTCGCATGTCAGGTCAAGACGCCGTCTTCCGGCCAAAGGGCGCAGAGAAGAAGGAGATTCAGACATAAGCCATGAGGATTGTCGCGAATACCACTTTTCATCTTTTTTCGTTCAGGGAAGCCGCGATTCGACAGCTGCTCGCAGCCACAGCCGGCCATGCACACGGTCACATTCCTTATGGGGCACGGATTTGGGGGGGTTTAGCATGCGAGATATCCGTTCTCGCGCGGTAGGGAGCACACGCAGGTACAATCGAGGGGCCAGGCGGCGTGTTGCTAGGCCTGGGCGACAGCCGGATCCGCAGCAGGACACAAGGGCTGCGAGTGCTGCTAAGGAGGACCATTCATCACTCTCCGAGACATGACGGCTTCGGATTGAGAGCTTTCTTCGACACTACTATACCAAGGCGTTACATTTCCTACTACTAATTCCATTTTCCACCGTTCCAATGCTGCATGTTGTACTCTTCACGGGCTTTTTCTACGTCTCCTAGCGCCTGCCTCCTTTGAGATTTATCTACTGAAATGCGAATGACTGCGAAACTCACCTCTTCCTATCATTATCTTTGCACGTGAAAATCGCCTGTACAGTCTGAATCGCGAAACGCGCGTCTCGCAATCAATCCCACGCCAACCCGTCCCGCACCACACATAATCATCATCATCATCATCATCATGCCAGCCTGCCGCGAATTAATCATTAAATCACCTGCACGCGGCACGTCAAACGTCACTTGTCAACCCACGCGGCTCCGCACACGCTGCATGCGTGTTGATCCCTCTTGCACGGCTTTGTTTGTTTGGTGCCGTGCTGATCACCATAACCTGCATTACTGTTTCCGCGCCTTGCTGGCGTCATTGTGGAGAAGGAGGATGGGTAAGGGGTTTTGCTGGTCCGCTGGTTTGCTGGGCGGAGGACCCCCCTAAGATCGGCGCTCGGAAGGGCTGTTTTTGGGTTGGTGGGTTTGGTGGGTTTTGGACGGATTGGATGGACCCCGAGTGGCGGAGTTGGGTCCGCGTTTGACAGACTTGACAGGAGGGAGGGAGGGTAAGCCGTTGGTGCTATTGGATGGGTAGAGTTATCGATGTGATGGAGTAGTTTATTGTGTGTGAAGTTTTTTTCTTTGCTTCGTTGTTATATGGGCTAAGGAAGGTTTTCGCGGAGGGAACGGAGTTGGTGTTTTTCGATAGATGCATTCGCTTTCGTGAACTTTGTTGTTCGCTATGTGTACTATTGGCTGCGTCTGCTTGTTACTTTCAGATACGCGTACGGGTTTCGCATGATGGTGATCCATTATGGACTATTGGGCGTATCTAGGCACGTTGGGAGCGCGTTGCTCCGTTTTCCATTTGAATCTGATGCTATGCTCCGAGCAGCTATAGCATGGTGTGTTGAGTACCGTGAACGTGCTAAGTATAGATACTTGGATTGTCTTTCGTATTATAATTCTGTCGAGTTTCGCGTCGTATGACGTCCATCTAGACGTCGCACGACCCATCCCATCCTCTGTTTCCGCTCCCCCCCCCTCCTCTTTCGCAAGTCCAATCTTATCAGATCACCAGAATTTCCCAGTCTTCCTCCGCTCGTTGGCCAACTCCAATTGTTCTCTGATCCCCCTCAACTCTCCTCTGTGCCTTTCGTGCGTCTCCTCCAGTAACCTTGCATGCTCTTTCTTCAGCTCAACAAACTCTTCTTCTAGCTTTTCATGCCACGGGTAAAGTACGAAGATCTGGAAGCAGAGGGCTGACGAGCCGATGAGGAAGTTGGTGAGGGAGAAGGTGCGGGTTATCAACATTGTAGGGTTTCGTTGTGTTGGAAGCTTTAAAGGTTTGTCTGGAATGAGGAGTTGAGAAAGAGTCGAATGTGGTCTGGCTGTAGAAGTGCGGGTTCCCAGTGTGTGTAATCTGATAAGCAGGCGTTGTTTTGTAGTGAGCCTATTTCGCACACCTTGTTGCGAGTGCTTTTCTGTGCTTCGTGCGCGATCTTGGAGTCTCTGCGCGAGTAATCTCGGTTCTGTGCGGTGGAAGTATGAGTATTCTCCAACGGTGGTTTGCCAGGCTGTATCGCGATTTACCCGAATGGTAGATAAACTGCAAGGTCACAAAGCCGTGGAGAGTAGTGTTGCGCGATAGAAAAGGAGGAAGAAATGAACAACGAGACATGAACAACAGGATTACTGTAGAAGGAGTAAGACCGTCGCCTCCACATACAAGCAGTATTTCAAGCCCCGAAAGTCGCTCAACATCAGTCACATGCAACGGTCCCTTACACACCTATTGGATCTTGCTCTCAAAAGTGGCATGATGGTTGCTGTTTTGGGCCAAATGGGACTAAAGCCGAAAGAAAATCAGACCACCGCGCGAAACGAACGGCATGGCTATGCATCGGCGAACCGGTACATTATCGGCGATCGAGAGTAATTCTCTTTGTTTGAACCTGCAGCATAGAAGAGAAGGAAGGAGTTCATGTGTCACAAGAGATCCAGTTTGGTGGTGCGTCGTGGTGATGATGGTTGCGGAAGGCACGCGACACTTGAGCGTGGACTAGCGCCGCGCTAACCCGAATGCCAACGCGCGTTGAAAGTGGCAGGAGCTCTCCACTTCTTTGTTACATTGCAAGCTGAACGACTGCTCTTTCAATTCGAATGCATTCTTTTGATGGAAATATCCGATCACCTTCGGAATGCTGGCAGTCAAACAGCAGACTCTAATGACGTCCTCTTCAGCTACTTCAAGCATACGTCATCATGATACGAGTCCACGGGACCATCGGTAGTGCGGGTATAGCGCATCTATGTAAGCAGTGATACTTCAGCATCGATGCCTCATCTTCAAGAAATCTCACATACGAGAGACGCTGCAAAGTGAGAGCAAAAACACAAAATGACGACCCCCAACATCGAGCTCCTCACAGCGGCCACACCCAACGGCCAAAAGATATCCATTTTCCTGGAAGAACTCGGCATCCCCTACAAGACCACCGCCATCGACCTATCCAAAGATGAGCAGAAGTACGCCTCATTTCTCAAAGTCAACCCCAACGGTCGTATACCCGCGATTGTAGACCACAGCCGCGACTCATACCCCGTCTTTGAGTCTGGAGCCATCTTTCTGTATCTCGCCGAACACTATGACAAAGACTTCAAGTTCAGCTTCCAGGATAGCGACGAGCGGATGGATATGATACAGTGGCTCTTCTTCCAGAACGCCGGCGTGGGCCCAATGCAAGGACAAGCGAACCATTTCGTGCGCTACGCACCCGAGAAGATTGACTATGGCACGAAGAGATACAAGAATGAGACAAAACGGCTTTACTCGGTCCTAGAAGCGCGACTCCAGGATAGAGACTATCTCGCAGGCAAAGGCCGCGGCAAGTACAGTATTGCGGATATCACGACCTTTACATGGGTTCGGTGGGCACCATGGGCGGGGATTGAGATGACCAAGTTTCCGAAGCTAAAGAAGTGGTGTGAGGAGATTGAGGAGAGAGATGCGGTCAGGAGAGGGCTTTTGGTGCCGTCCGGCGAAGATCAGATTGAGAAGTTGAGGAGGAATCCTGATGTGCAGGACCCGTTTAAAGCGTGGGTGAGGAAGGGCCAGAAAGAGATCGCGGATACGCATGGGAACTAGTAAGCCCCTAGTGCAAAACGTTGCTGAAGATAGTACCCAGGCAAGTATACACTGCCTCAGAAGCTATCTAGTTGTTAACAATCAATAGTATGTATGTAGCAACGTGCAATCCGAGCCCTAGCCACCCATAGTGCCCCTACGGCATGAACCTACGTATGATCCTCAGCATACTCCCATTCTCATGAACGAGAACGAAAGAACCTTCCTCACGGTTGCAGGAAATGTCATGAAGGAAGGCAGGACAGAGTTCCCGAACTGTCAAGGTTCCGTCCTTCAGAAATTGAAAGATGGTACCGTTTTTGAGATTGGGATCTAAAGGGCACACCGAGGTGTCCTCCTTTATGATCATCTTATGACCACGATCGATGGGTCCAATACGAGTTCGATACGGCTCTACATCGGTGGGCCGGAAATACTGTATTTCCAATAAGTCATGTTCGCCGAATCCCTCGGTAACACCCATAAGATGACCGTAAGGAAAATTCAATTCGAGTGGGCGTTGGCTGGCGAAGAAGGTGGGTGAGGCCCATTGGGTGATTCCTCGGTGCAGCATCTTACGGAAACGGACCAGCTGGAGCCAGCGGGGTATGTTTGTTCCTCGATACCACACGTCCTCGTCGGGGCGTCTGCGTGCTGTTAATAAAGAAGTAAGGACATGGTAGGCAATGAGCGAACGAGTTTTGCGCTGCAAATCCTCGACGTGTTGGGGGAAAGCAGACTGGTCGTAGTACGTGAGCGCGGCGCGGATACACTGCATTACAATTTCGCCCTGTTGGTGATCCAGTAGCTCCGTACCCTCTAGACACAACTCTTCGATGTCAGGTTCGTGCGCAAAGAGCGCAGTAATAGCTGCGCGGCCTTCGTCTGTGAGGCGTGTAATCGTACGAGACGGTGGCTCGCCATAACCAAAAAGATCAGTAAAAGCTGCGCGACCCACATCCACGATCGAAAGTGGTTTCCTATAGCCTTTTGTCTGCTCGATAATCTGAGATGCACTGCGGTGGTACCATTCGTCCAAGAAACGGGGAAGAGCAGACCAGAAACCGTCTCTCTGCAAGGCGTCCTCAATAGTCGGGCCGGAAGGATACAGCAGCTGTGGATCTTCCGTTTTGTCGTCGTTGTATTCAATCTGGATATGAAATGCCACAAGGTTGTCATATAGTTGGGTAGTCTGCTGGTAGGTACTGTTCGGGTTACTCGGGGGCTTCGCAAGCGGTTTGGGGATCTTCCCGAAGAGCTCGCGACGGCAAAATGGACACAGATTGCTGACTTCCTCTCCGTATTCCGTTGCAAAGGTTATGAGAAGACAGTCTTTGTGAAGAGGATGCCGAGAGCAGTGAGGGCTTGGCTCGACAACTTCCTGGGCCGGATAGTCCCACTCACCACGACATATAGCACACGTTGGCTCGTCCGCTGGAGGGGCGACTGAGCGTAGGTTGGCGATATATTCTTGTTTTGGCGGGAGCCATTCGAGCTCAGCAACGGTTTCGTCGCCGTACTCTGTAGGCATCCTGGTCTGGCGACGCGCGATCGAGAAAGTGGTGTGGTGGGTGAAAAGGAGGTGAACAGTCACTTAACTGTCCAGAGTAGGAGCTTGTGTGCCAACAATGCGCAATGGCTATGTTGTGAAAGTACAAGGATTGAGATGTAGAAACGTGTCCTGCCGACTACATTAGTGTACAAGATAAAAGATGGACAAAATCCTGAGGTAATGTGGACTTTCAGGACATAGATATTCAGTTCTTTTCCTGTATGAGATGCTCCATCAATGGAGTCGCCAAAGCATCTAATCTGAACTCACCATGAAAAGCCCATATCTATCGCTTGTGACCGAGTCTAAGCCCATATGATATGTCTCCTAACCAAATTCACCTCCTCAAAGGTCGAATTTTCACGTTCGCCACCCTTCCAACTATCGATCTTCAGCGGTGAGACTTGCGCACTTTTCAACGACCTTTTTTCCGCGCAATCTGGATCTTCAACGGGCTCGGGAGGTTCTGTCGGGGGCGCTCGCTCAACCTTAACAAGCATCGAAACCTTATTGAAATCCCCATTCGGTATGAAAACACGGATCTCAGTAACCCATCGATTGTGGCCAAACCGAGTCTTGTGTTGGAGGAGGAAGAACATTACTGCTACAAGGTTCGGCGATCCTAGAGACTGGTAGTTAGTGCATATCCTGTAACTGTTGAGAATTCGAGAGAGCTTCTGGTGAACATATCAGAGAAAGCTACAATCGTATACATACCCAGCAGAGCGATGAAGTTCTCGTTCCCAGCTCTAAAGGTGTATCCTGGCGCATTCGGCACAGCATTTTGTCCCATGGCTCTACTGATGATCTTGCGCGTTTCCGGGTTCGCAACTGCCACCGTGAAGAAGTAGTTGATGTTGGACAGGCTTTCTTTGCAATGCCTATTCCAGAGACCCCAGGCAATATCCGAGCTGCTTTTGAGGGCAGGCATTTCGTCCGGCTTGACGGAGGGTACATTCCATAGCTTTCTCGCCGCGTACGCGGGGCTCTCACGAGTCAGAAAGAAGATGATACCAGCCTTTGGATTTATTCCAATGGTGGAATCCGCGCCGGTAACCTAGAGCAATGTCAGCTGCATTGCGTCAAGTTTTAGCCATATCGATTTCTATGTGCTCACATACCCTGTATCTGCGCCCTTCAACTTTGTAGTATTGTTCCTTAGGATCTTCTGGTACTTCACCGTTCTCATCTTTCTCCAAGGTAGGCCCGTCTTGATGTTGGATTGTGTGACAGATGTTGTCCCCTCCATCGCGTGAATCTCTATCATCTGCGTGTAGCTCTTTGAGCATATCTTGAAGGCCGTGGTTTTCTTTCCCCATGACACAGTTTTCGTCAGAGTCTTCAACTTCCGGGTAGTCAGGTTCCGAGTAGCCCCAAAGTGCTAGTTCGCGTTCGAGGGTTCCATCCCAGGGAGTTTCCATCTGTTGATAGACCTTGGCAGCCTCTGGAAGGTTCAAGCTCGTGGCTAGTATCAACATTCGGCCTTTGCTTAACGCAGCATTCCATAAGACGTCATCGGCGGGTTCTGTCGTCTCGGTGTCAACTAATACGGCGGTTTCGATCCTGCCTTCGTCGATAGCAGCGCTGGAGACATTGGAGTAAGACGAGTCGAAGACGTTAGCGGTGGCAGAGGCGAGAAGAACAGCACCGAGCGCCAAGAGCTTCGAGATCATCAGGGTAGATTCTAACCCTGGTGGAGGTATTTGCGAGATTTAAATCGTTTCCAAAGTGGAGCTCCCTGGGTACATATTTAAGTAGCTGGCGCGTAAAGGCCACACAGGTCCGGGCTTTTTCCGTTGGTAGCAATGAAAGGTCGACCAGCGCGAAAGAGCAGCAGTTCCTTATTCCCTATCGGCGATTTGATATACGAAGGAAATGAAACGTTGTAGCTACCGAGAGTCACTGTATCTCACACCGCGCGGATCTACTTCCTCAAGCGACGTTTTTGACCCGAGTACCCCAAAGATGAATGCTACCTAGATACACTTACATGTGCGAACAGATCACTCTGAGTAGACGAGACGTCGTCGCAGCCTTCGAGATAGTTTTCAAGTAGAAACGTGGACAAAAATGGTGAAAGGAGCTGCTGATTTGGATACGAGCAGATGAATGCATTATGGAGGCCATGGCCGGTATCTGCACGACATAGTTAAGCCTAGTAAATCTCGCCATCGCCTTCCTCGTCATCGTCATCTCCACCTTCATCATCACATTCATCGGATGCCCATGACGAGTACCACTCATTATCCATATCGCGCACGGTATTGGTACCGCAGTGGACCTCGCCGCCGTAGTTGTGATGTGTGTTCCAGTCGTCGATGTAGATGACATCCATACCCACACTGGCGTACAGCGACTTGAGCTTCTCGGCAAGAACATCCGTTCCGTTCACAACGGGGCCCCAGGGGTTGGGTGCAATGTATGTGTCAAAGTCGGTCAAGACAATGCCGTTGATAACACCGGGGAAGAGCGCACCGACCTTCAGCTCATCTGTCGCGTTACCGGAAGAGCTTCCGCCAAATGCCGAGCCACTTGTCGCATTACCGGAAAGAATTGCGGAAAGGTCGCCGAAAGGATTTCCGTTGAACATTTCAGGTAGGCGAATGATCTCGTCATCAGTAACTCCTGTTGCTTGCTTGAGGATCTGCAGATTGCCCTCGATACGTTCGGCGCAGCGCTTCTGCACAGACATGAGGTCCTCATTGGCAAGCAACTCACTGATAGTGATTGGCGGAACGGGAATTGCAGCACAGGCGAAATCGGAGGTGCAGTTGGCGAATGATTGGCTGTCGTTTTTGCGCGAAAAGGCGTGCTCTGAGCCGTATCCGTTGTCCTTTAGCTGCTGGAGCATGTCGACACCCACCATGGGATCGGTAACCATAACGACCCAACCACGAGGCGAATCGACAGGAATGAACTGGATAAATTCGTCAACGTGGCCAATGACCAGCCAGTCTGTATCGAGAAGGAGAGGATCTTGTGTCTCTTGTGCTTGGAAGAAGGGAAGCATGAAGTGTTTCTGCTCGCCATGGTTGCCAAGGATAAGACGACCGGCGGGCCACGTAGTGCCATTGAACTCGTAGGGAGGAATAGTCTCGATGTTACCACCGGAGTTGATCTCATCGCGGGCACCACCAAGCTGCTGGACAGCACCGATACCAGTGTCGCGGTAGTATTCGAAGAGCTGTCTGCCGGCAACGCGCTCGTCCTGGGGAGAACGGATCATGATACGCAGGGTGATGGGTCCGTCGGGACCGGGCATCGAAGCGAAGCCAGGCTCCATGAAGTCCTGCGCCCAGATATCATCGCTTCCGGAGAAGAGGTAAAGTTCTTCTTCGAGGCCAGACTCGTTGACGGCTGTTTGAAGGGCGTCGGTGAAGCGAAGGATCCATGGATTGCCGGTCTCATTACCTTTGACAGCAATGACCTGCTGCACAGGGTCGAGATGAGTATGGGTGAGGACAGGTGCAGCGCGAAGCATGACATCATCAGAAGAGGCACCTATCGAGCTCTCGACATCGAAGCTAATAGTAACGCGGCCGTCCCAGCCATTGGGTCGACGGGTGTCGCGTCCGTCAACACCGAGGACAAGACCCTCACGCAGAGCGGCTGCGCTGAAAGTGGAATTGCCGTCGACATAGCTCCAGGTGCTGTTTTCGCTCGCCTTGTGGAAGATGCGGACATACTTGCGCTGCACGGGATCTTTGATGTAGATGCGACCATGAGCGCCATCGGGAAGCTCAGGCAGTGGAACTGTGCGGAGCGGAGCGAGATATTGCTCGGAGCGCATGACATTGTCAGAAGCATCGTTGCAAGCATCAATTCGCTCGTTGCTGACCGAAGGACCGTTGAGGAGGGCGTTAGAGCAACGCTTGTTCGTGTCTCCAATGTTGGGGAGAAAGATGGCGCCATAGTCGGCAGTCCACTCGGTCTTGCCGTCGCAGTCCTCGCAGTCTTCCACGTCTGTGATGTCGACCGTGCCGTCTCGATTGGTATCAGCTCGGATATCGGCCTTGACCTTGCCGGTTGTAGATGCATTGGTTGGTGTTAGATCGATTGATGCGTCTGATCCACGCGAGACGACTCCGGCAAAGGCGGGACAAGCAAGGCCTGATTTGAATTAGCTTTTGTCCATCTGAAAAACGATTGAATAATGGGTAAGCTTGGTCTGATACTTACAGAGGCCTGAGAGAGCAAGAAGCGCTTGAGAACGCATCTTGAAGCTTGCTCGGAACGATGGATGTAAACTGTTCCCGACGCTTCACCAGGTGTTTATAGGATGGCCGTTCTGAAGCGAATCTTAGATACAGAACGAGATGATCTTCCACTCAGTTAAACGTTGCCTCTATATACAGCTTCCCGATAGCGAGGACGTCACCGGCTGATGCCAATCTTGTTGCCATGACGTTTCCGAAAAGGGCGTTCCGCCGACAAGACCTCGGGAGGCTGTGTTCTCTGTAGATAGGCATCATACAGCCGGCGTATAGCTTGCACAACGTTACCCGAAATGAGTCGACTCCAGTAGCTTGTTAACGAGATCAGTGGATGTTGTGGATGCCCAGGTGTTGTCGCAGTGGAGACGGAGGTGATGACAGTCAAATTGGCGTTTCCGACCGGCGGATTATACGCTGGAGCCAATCAGGGTCGTCGTGTCGGGCCGATAAGATGAACTAGAACGCATGATCGGGACTCCCGTCTCCTTGTTCTTCTTCCTAACAATTGCGCGTCCTCTCAGCCCTTACTTTGACTGTGGCTTCTGTGAAAAATAGCACCGCCTCAACCATTTTGAGTTTTGTGGGTGAATTCGTACTTATAAGGTGAAGTACCCGACATACGCCACAGCCAATAACATGATCATGGATTTGCCGGTATTGACAAAGGGCCCTCGAGTGCGCACCTTCTCTCCCAAAGTTCGCACAGGATGTAATACTTGGTACGTTCTCCAGAAACGTGGTGAAGTGCAGCTGCCTCATCTTCTTTCGTTCCCTCTTCCCACTCTATCGCCTCTGTACCTGCGATCCTTAAGAAACACCGTGTTATACACCGAAGATGACCTTTCTGCGCGCGACAATTTGGGTGGTCGACACAACGGAGCTTTTGCTAATGTGCTTTCGCAGCAAGTAAGTGTGTTTGGGCGTTATCTCGCCAGTGCACCACCTGTTTCTTCATACCAGGATTTGTGTTCCGCAATTGTGTTTGGAAACAGCGTGGCATCCACGATCGCCCAACATATCAGGCTCAACATACTGACATACCGCGTGTTGATCTACAGAATACGCCGAAAGAAATGTGACGAAGAGAAACCAACCTGCCGTCGATGTAGAGAGGGCCAAGTGAAGTGTGATGGGTATGCGCCATTGCCACCTCAAAAGAAGCAATCACCTACTAGAGAGAAAGCCATCCAAGCCTCTGCAGCAAGCAAGTGCACCGTCGCTCGTCGTCAGACGCGTAGCACATCCCCAGACGTCGGATCTGGCTTTGGCCTTTTCGGTAGCGCGCGCGAACGGCTCTTCTTCTACCATTTCTGCTCCATCACCATCGTCGATTTCGTCCGTCTCGCCACTCCGAAAGACTTCTGGTCCCGAAGAGTGCTTCCGATGAGCCATAACGAGCCTGCGGTGCGACATGCAGTGGTTGCGCTCGGTGCAGCCCATCAGCTCTACCTCCAAAAGCTTTCAGCGCCTCTTCTGGAAGATACAAACGCGTCTATGGCCCGTCTGGAAGTTATTGCTACACAGCATTACAACAAAGCCATCGGAGACCTAGTGTGCATCAAGGATTCCCAGACGTCAACGACCGTTGATGCTGAGGTCACGATTCTGACCTGCTGTTTACTCTTTGTTTGCTTGGAGAACTTGCTTGGTCGCTTCGACGAGGGCATTCGTCACATGCGGGCCGGCGCACGTCTGTTGGAAACATGCAACCTGTCGGCCGCTTCAAGCGACTCGAAACAGCTGATGCAGGAGATCGGGACCGTGTTACTTCGCTTCGGTGTGGACGCAGCCATGCTCGTTGACGATGAAGACGTCATCTCCGACATGACGCCATATGCCACGCCATTGATTGAGATTGAGGAAGAGCAGACACCGTTTCCAAGCGTTGCAGAATGCAAAGAGGCCTTGTGGGACCTGGAAATCAGGCTGTTCAATACCGATCCTGGTTGTGATGGAGATGAAGAGACTACGATAGGTCGTGGTCCAGATAGCGAAACGATAGAGCTCACCGCATCTTTCGAGCGTTGGAAGAAGAAGTTCGACCTCCTCGTCTCAGCTTTGGCCGACTCACGGAGTTTACCGAAGGAAGTTCAGCGCGAACTACTTGTCCTCATGCTTCGCAGATGCGCACTGGAAATAATTTTACTTCCAGAGACTGAAGACAACGACGAAGAGTTATCGAGGCTCAACTATGAGCTCCTGGACATGGCGGGGCATTTGTATAGTATGGAGGCATCGTGGTTGGGACGGCCAATGTTCACGCTGGATAGCGACACGATTCCTTCGCTGTTTTTTACAGCGACATTCTGCGAGGACCCTATCTTGGTTCAGCGCATCATCACTCTTTTACGCCAATCTCGGCGGCGAGAAGGCCCTTGGGATAGCTGGGAAGCTGCGAATAAGCTTGAGCTAGGGCCAAAGAAACTGTGTAGTGTTAGCAATTAGCTGGCTTCAATTCAACATACTGCTCCAACTAAGCTTGAGAAAAGCCATGAAAGATGACTGGTCAAAGCCGTAGTTCAGCGTCGAATATGGTCTTGCGCAGTCAGTTGCGAAAGAAAAGATGTAGTGGTGGATCCGAGGTGCTCTTCTTCTGCTTCAGCCTTGTGGTGGATTTGCCACAAAGACTGGATAAAGTTCCTTGGAGAGTGTATACGCATCATATAGACGGTATGCGAAGGATGGTGCATTGACAAGTCTGGTTGGAGGGTATAGCGAAGGAAGAGGAGAAACGCGCGATGATGCGGGTAGCTGTGCGGGGCTGCCAGCCATCAGGCTCACAACGCGCCTGCCATCTCCGCCTCCTCACACAAAGTCTTCTCTCAGTATTAACATCACCACTACGTCCTCAACTATTTCGGCGAATATAAATGCATATCGCATTGATCCTGTTCAGAGCAGCAGCTATCTTGATGTTGGTGTAATATGTGAGAAAGACCTTGTGGCACTTTATGTCAGTGCCACTAGGATCCGTATCGACCGCGGAGCGCGTCTCAACCCTCCAGGGCTGATGTCTCTTACCAACACTTCTTCGCCCTCCATGTCCACGCAGCCACATGTGAAGAGCGGTCATTGATCACTCTTGGCTCGACCGACTGATTTCATATTTGAGTCTACTGACGCGACATGCACACGCCGTAGCTACTGGCTGAGAGGTGCAGCCTACCCCATTTCATTATGACGACACGATGCGCGACGCGTTCTGGGGCAACGTGATATATCCTTAGGTCTCGCCTGGATTGGAACAACCGTCTACCATACAAATAAGAAGAACAAGTAAGGTATTGAGCAACCAGCTGAACCTGAAGCATCATGGACACCATCAAGAAAGCCATCGGCAGCGCCTTCGATCCCAACACAGACATCCCCGACCTCAGCGGAAAGGTAAGCTTATCCCTCCCTCTACATGTGCAGGTTTCTAATGCATCTTTCAGATCTATGTCGTAACAGGCGGCTCCGCTGGAATCGGATACGGCATCGTCGCGCACCTCCTCCAGCACAACCCCGCGAAAATCTACCTCCTTTCGAACAAAGAGCAACACGCCGACGAAGCTCAAGAAGCGCTCAAGGAATGGGGTGACATAAGCAAAGTGGAATGGCGCAAGTGCAATCTCGAAGACTTCAAACAAGTCGACGAAGTAGCCAAGTCGCTGGCAAAAGAGCTGGACAGGCTTGATGCTTTGGTCTGCAATGCGGGTTTGGGCGTTGGCGTATACAACGAGACTCGGGATGGTCTGGATAGCCACATGCAGGTCAACATCTTCTCGCAGGCCCACCTCACGCTCATGCTATTGCCTATACTGCAGAAGACACCCGACTCGCGCATTGTACACCAATCTTCCGACCTACACAGGGGAGCCGACTCGAGCATGAAGTTTGAGTCCATCCAAGAGATCAACCAAGACATCGGTGCAATGAAGCTCTATAACCGCACCAAGCTAGCGCAGATCCTCTTTCTTCGCGAGCTGTACCTCCGTATCAAGGCTGGAGAGTTCGGTCAAGTCACAGAGAGCACGGGCTTACCGTGGATCAACGCGACGCACCCTGGTGGCGTGATAACGGATCAGCAAGATCAAGCAATCGAGGCCTATGGCACTGCTGGAAAGATTGGGGTCAAAGCCGTGCGACCGTTCATGAAAGACCCAGTAGCGGAGGGGTGTCGCCCAGCCTTGTTTGCCGCAGCGTCGCCCGATGTTCCGAAGGAGCAGATTCAAGTAAGTCGACTCTGGAAGTCCTCTTCATCAGAAACTCAAGCTAATTGCCAACAGAACTCCTACATCGTTCCTGATAAGAAGGTCCAAGAAGCGTCCAAGCAGGCCAGGGATGAGAAGTTGCAGAGAAACTTGTGGAGGCTAACCAAGGAAGTCCTGGAGTCGAAGATTGATAGCTTGCCATACGAGATGAAAACTGAAGTTGTCAACACTGCGTAGACCGAGGGTAAATAGCGGTCCGATTCTGGATGGATAATGTCCGATTATGACTCAGGTGCTTGTTAGATACGCTCCACAGTTTATCACACTTGCGTCTAATGAACGATGCCGCATACTCAAGTTCCATGGAAGGGAGACGAACTAAACGCGACTCACGCGCCAGCTATGTGTATGACGCGTTACATAACCCGAAATTCAACCCCAAAGCAAGGTCATATCCCACTACAAAGCGTATGCAGCGTCTAGATCAAGACCTATAAGCTGCTATCACAGTCTTGATCGTCGCAACCCCAGCATGTAGTTTGAAGGGCGTGTTGTGGTGCCCCGCTAACGTCATAGTACCAAGTGGGGTTCCAAGAGGCTCTGGGCAACTTCAACTGTACAGTCATGATGCGGTATATAATCGCCAACATCGCTTTCAAAACCATCATTACAAATCTCAGTTGTCTCAAGTGTCTCAAACCCAAACACAATTTTATCTTTCCACAACACACCAAACACCATCATGTCCAAGCTTACCGACTTCAAGCTCCTCTCTTTCGATGTGTATGGCACCCTGATAGACTGGGAGGCGGGCGCTTTGACCGCCCTCCAGCCCCATCTTAAGAAGTCTGGTCAAGAGAACATGGATCGCAAGCACATTATGCAAGTCATGCACAAGATCGAGGCCAGAGTTGAGAGCGAACACGGCCATCTCAAGTACTCAGAGGTACTCGCCATGGTGCTTCCTGAGTTGTGTGAGAAACTTGGTCTGGAGAAGCCCAGTGAACAAGAGAACAAAGCATTTGGAGCGAGTATCGGACACTGGCCTGGATTCGCTGATATACCATCTGCTTTGGAGAGGTTGTCCAAGTACTTCAAGCTTGTCGTTCTTTCCAACGTCGACCATGATTCATTCAAGATCGGAAATGCGAACGGGCTCAAGGGATACAAGTTCGACGCCGTCTACACCGCCCAAGACATCGGATCTTACAAGCCCGACCTAAGGAATTTCGAATACATGCTGGCCAAAGTGAAGGAGCAATTCGGAGTCGAGAAGCACGAGGTGCTGCAAACGGCGCAATCTCAATATCACGACCACCACCCAGCAAAGGACATGGGAATCAAGAGTTCATGGATTTACAGGCCGGGTGCGGTCATGGGAAACCGCGATGATCCTGTATATAACTGGAAGTTCGACACGTTGGCCGACATGGCGGATGCCGTGGAAAAGGAGGCCGCAGAGCAGGGAAAGTAGGCAGAGATGGGAGATTGTGTGGTTGTGTGCATTGACACTGGAGGTGGGGGACGCTAGAAGTACTCCAACTTTTGTTCTGGATTCAACAAGGAAGATATCAATGCAAAGCGCAGCCTTGGCGCCAGTTACTTTTCGGACCCAGAACATTTGCCGCGCGAGGCCGCCAACACTGTGATTAGTCTGCGTTAGCTTGCGGGGTGCAGATGCTTTCTCCTCCTCCGGACGCCACAATCTATTGCTTCGCTGTGAACTCAAAAAGCTTTTTCCCAATAGAAATGAGCTGATCATCCCAAAAGCAGACTGGGAGGATAGGGTCTATGTGCGATCTTCCTGCGCGATGCAGTTCTGTTCTGCAGCTCTGTTCTGCAGCTCTGTTCTGCAGCCGTGCCGTACTAATACAGGCACGTAATCATCATGGATGCCCAGCTGCGTCCGGTGAGCGGGCGACGAGAGAAAATTGCCTCCACGGACCTTTACTCAAGCGCCTTGGAGAGGGAAAGTAATCTTTATGGGGGTAAGCTTCGGAGGCAAGTGAAGATGCAAGTTCACAACATGGCTCCGGACACCCTTGCACAACCGATATCTTGACTCGGTAGTGCCCTATCGTGGCTCGGCAACGTCATTATTCGCCAGCCACGTGCCGTTCTCACCCTTCAACACCAACGTTGTACCCATCACGACCGCAAGCTAGCGCCAACGCGAATAAGCGCATGCGAGATTATCCGTAGCAATAGTCACATCGCCTGCATCCCCGCAGTCTCTCCGCTATCCGTTGCCGATAGCGCCAGTCGGCACCCATGGCGGACCGACTCCCTGCACCGCCATCGGCAGAAGTACGGGAGCAGGAAAATACTATGAAAGCAACCCATTTCTCCCCACGATGGTGGAAGCGAAGGCTAGCCATCATCATGATTTTCTCCGGTAGCACTGCTTTGCTATTCTGGTACTTTGGCGCTTTCAGCCAGGCCAGGCCATACCAGCCTGGTACACCCCAACGCCCGGATCCTCCGAGTTATGAGACACCAGACGGTTCTCTTCTCGTCACCCTGCCGGAGTATGGATCTTTCCAGGGCACACAGCTTCTTATGAACCTGAAGAAGACGGAGACTTTGAGTCGGCCAGTGGATGCGTGGATGAATGTTGAGTACTCTACGCAGCCTGTTGGTCACGGAAGGTTTATGCCAGTAACATGGCCCGAACCATTCGATGGTACAAAGGATGCGACATCAATTGGACCGGCTTGCTTCCAGAACATGTACGGCTCCCTCGGGCAGTCGGAAGCTTGCCTTACCATCAACGTATACCGACCCTCGGGTATCCCTATGGACCAGAAGCTCCCGTCCATGGTCTTTTTGCACGGTGGCTCGTTCGTCTCGGGTTCTCACCGCAGCTTCGACGGTCCGCTATTCGTTGAGCAAAGCCCCGAGCCTGTTATGGTTGTCACCGTTCAGTACCGACTGGGTGCGCTCGGCAGCTTGCCAGCCAAGTTCATGCAAGATGAGGGTCTTCTCAACCTCGGTATCCGCGATCAGAAGATGTCATTGGAGTTCTTGCAAAAGTACATCGGCGACTTTGGAGGCGACAAAGACCAAATCACGCTCGCCGGTCAAAGTGCTGGCGGCCACTCGGTCGGTATCCACCTTTTCCACAACTACGCAGAGGATGCCGGAAAGCCTTTGTTCAGCAAGGCCATCTTGTCTTCAGGTTCACCAACCGCTCGCGCCTTCCCAGGTGTCGACTACCCTCTCTACCAAAAGCAAGTCGCAGACATCATGGAC